CCTTTAGTAAATCAAACCCAATTGCTTACTGTGTGGGTTATGGACTATTGTTACATTCTAATCACCATGGAATATACTTTGTTACACCTTTAACCACTTGCTGACCACATAACCTAGTTCTACAGAAGCAGAGTGGCTCTCCTGCACTGCTTCACGTACCCAGAACGTGATCCGGCACTTCCACAGGTAGAGGGCACACACGCGTGCTGCCGGCAATCCGTCTGTGCTGAGATTACCCGCGTGGAAGAAAAATATAGTTGAAGTATATTTTACAAATATTCTTCCCAGATATATTGACATATATTTGAAGTACTACAAAAAATACATATTTCAATACATACATACATATATATATATATATATATATATTTATGTTGCTTTTTTATTGCAAAATATATGAAAAATAATTTTAAAAATACATTTTCAAATATACTGTATGTCTTGAAATGCCACAATTTTGGCCGTATGCAATATATTTCAAAATATATTTCAATAATTAAATATATATATATATATATATATATATATATATATATAATTATTATTATTTTATTTTTTTATATATATGTATATTTTTTTTATATTATTATTATACAGGATTTATATTATTATTATTATACAGGATTTATATATTATTATTATTATTATAATACAGAATTTATATTATTATTATTATTATATACAGGATTTATATATTATTATTATTATACAGGATTTATATTATTATTATACAGGATTTATATATTACTATACAGGATTTATATATTATTATACAGGATTTATATATTATTATTATACAGGATTTATATTATAATTCCTATATTATTATACAGGATTTATATATTATTATGCAGGATTTATATATTATTATTATACAGGATTTATATTATTATTATACAGGATTATATATATTATTATTATTATTTATTATTATACAGGATTTATATATTATTATTATACAGGATTTATATATTATTATTATTATTATACAGGATTTATATATTATTATTATTATACAGGATTTATATTATTATTATACAGGATTTATATATTACTATACAGGATTTATATATTTATTATTATACAGGATTTATATATTATTATTATTATATTATATATACAGGATTTATATATTATTATGCAGGATTTATATATTATTATTATACAGGATTTATATATTATTATTATACAGGATTTATATATTATTATTATTATTATAATACAGAATTTATATTATTATTATTATACAGGATTTATATATTATTATTATATATACAGGATTTATATATTATTATGCAGGATTTATATATTATATTATACAGGATTTATATATTATTATTATACAGGATTTATATATTATTATTATTATTATAATACAGAATTTATATTATTATTATTATATACAGGATTTATATATTATTATTATTATACAGGATTTATATTATTATTATACAGGATTTATATATTACTATACAGGATTTATATATTATTATACAGGATTTATATATTATTATTATACAGGATTTATATTATTATTATACAGGATTTATATATTATTATTATACAGGATTTATATTATTATTATACAGGATTTATATATTATTATTATACAGGATTTATATATTATTATTATTATTATATACAGGATTTATATATTATTATTATTATACAGGATTTATATTATTATTATACAGGATTTATATATTACTATACAGGATTTATATATTATTATTATACAGGATTTATATATTATTATTATACAGGATTTATATATTATTATTATACAGGATTTATATATTATTATTATACAGGATTTATATTATTATTATACAGGATTTATATATTATTATGCAGGATTTATATATTATTATTATACAGGATTTATATATTATTATTATACAGGATTTATATATTATTATTATACAGCATTTATGTAGCGCCAACAGTTTGCTCAGCTCTTTACAATATAACGGGAGACAATACAGCATCAATACAGTTCAATACAAGAGGGTTAGGAGGGCCCTGATCCTGGGACATCAGTGCCCCACTACGTACCCGGCATCAGACGGCGAGTATACTTCGTGTGAGTGAGACACACAGAGGAGGCTGTCCCACGGATTTAATATAACGGCTGCAAATTTTAACAAAGCGAGTTTTATTGTACACATTGTGAGTGCATCTGCATATGGGGCACTAAATAAACACACATTTTATGAAAACGATAAGGCACTATGTATGTTTTTCTCTTTTAATGTTTAAAAGAGGATTAATTGGAATAAAGAGCAAAGGAACGGAGAGAAACCCTGCAGGGCAGGGAGGGAGAAATCCCGGCACCAGCATACTATCAAAGCCCGACTGAGGAGTACACAGAGGTCATCTGAGGCTCATCCCATCCTAAAGGATTTGATCACATTATCCAGCAAATCACCTTTAAATTAAAGTATAAAGCTTTAATTAAGCCTTTAATTAGGCAAAAAAGGAGGTGAGCATATTTGAATGGTATTTTTTGGAAGAACAGAGTGAAATAAACACGAGGAGTAATTTAATCACATTGGGACAATATATATATATATTAATTAATGTCTGGCTCTTCATATATATGTATTTATATATTTATATATTATTTATATATAATTCATTGTTCTAATTGATTTATGATTTATAATATGGTAATATTACACTTAAATTAATTTAGGCACAGTGGATCACATTATAAAATTGGTATATTATTATAAATATTAGTGCATTTTATATGGAGAAGTGTATCATTTTATAGGTAATATATGGATTAATTAATTAAATCAATATAAAGAATCCTCATAGAGTCCATTCAGTAAAGTCCACATATCAATATTGAATATGATCCTCAGTAAATGCAGCTATGAAGTCTTCCATCACCAGTGCAAACCCCAGTGCTTTAACACCCCATCAAAATTCACACTCACCAAAAGCTGGTGAATAACCAGCATATCTTTGTATATTCAATAATAATCTGCAGCTTGGCTCACTCCACTTGAGAGATATCCATAAACTCCATAGAACACATGTAGGTAAGATAAAAAACACTCGCCATAGTGCAATATCGTATGAAAACAATTTATTCCAAAATTCCCCCCATAAAAACGCGCTCATATTGGGTTAATAAAATTCAAGCATTGTATAAGTAAACCTCATCATACAAGAGCTCACAGCTCTCACAGCAGCATCTCACCAGCCTGCCTGCAACCGAGATGGCGTTGTTGCGATCACGCGGTCCGGACACATGCAGCAGCGTGCGTGATGGCCTCACTGGTTAACCACGCCCTAACGCGTTTCGTCACACGGCTTTGTCTGAGGGAGTGGTCAGCAGTACGTGGAGCGTGCTCTTTTAGAGCTGCCCCTTTTCCTATTGGACAGTCTTACAGATAACAGTTAAGAGCCTGAGTTTTCAATGAATGGTACAAGTGGTCGAATACCTCGGATATGTCAACCACACCTCATCCGAACAACAGCACCATCTTGTGTCTAAACATCTTATTGGTTGCAGGCAGGCTGGTGAGACGCTGCTGTGAGAGCTGTGAGCTCTTGTATGATGAGGTTTACTTATACAATGCTTGAATTTTATTAACCCAATGTGAGTGCGTTTTTTATGGGGGAAATTTTGGAATAAATGTGCGAACTTGGCGCTCTATTTCAAATTTCAGTGTTTTTGGTTTGATTCTAATATTGAATTAAATGTATTATTATTATATTATTTTTTATGATTATTTATTATATTATAATTTATGATTTCGTGTTTCAAGTTTTATCCTACCCGGGATGTTTACTAGACTCTTGTTCGGACAGATTTCAGTGAGTTATTCCTAAAAATTACAGGCCTACAATAAAAAACGACATATTTCCATTGAAAATAATGTACCGCTTTGAGCACAGAAATAATGACATAATCAGACCGCTAGGGAGGTTAAAAGACAGCAGCTACAAAAACTGTAGCTGCTGACTTTTACCCCCGGTTCACATCTGTGCGGGTGGTGCCGCTGCGGATCCACATAAAAATCCGTGCAGCCGCACCACCCACACAGAGAAATGCGGACCCGCGGGTGGGTGCCATTATTTCTAATGGCACGCTGCCCGCACTGGAGAACGCAACCGTACTGGGAACCTCGGCTGCATTTTTCAAAGAAGTGCCGGGACTTCTTCCCTGCGTGTCACGGGCATGGGAGTCCATTCAAATAAACGGGCTCTCGTGCCTGTGCAAAACGCGGCCCGCATGGCCACATAGATGTGAACCGGGATGAATAAACACACACTTACCTGTCCCGGAGTGCAGCGATGTTCTCACCCACACCGCCCCTTCTCAGCTCCTCTCCTCCACAGCGCCGGCATCTCTACTGTGGGCACCAGGCTGTGACATCTTGCAGCTTCACAGCCTGGTGCCCACTGCGCATGCACAAGTTGCTCTGCGCCTCATAATTGGTCCAGCAGTCTTCCCAGGACTTGTCAAAGTTCCCAGGAGACTGCAAGATGGAGGAGGGGGCCAAACCTCCGGCACACCCCGCCACGGCGAACTGAGCCAGAAGTGGGAGTGGGTACCTGTCCAAAACAGATATCCGCTCCCCTCCCCCACAAAAGGTGCCAAATATGGCAGTGGAGGGGGGGAGGAGGCAAATAAGCGGAGGTTCCTCTTTTTAGTGGAACTCCACTTTGTTTTATTAAAGGACTTTTTTTCTCTTTAATATGCCTTTTTTCATTCGTATTTAGCCACCTAGGTTTAACTTTATTTCTTTTATGTTTGTTGGCCATTGGAATGAACTAGCTAATACCATATGTAATATGCCCTATAAGCACTCCCATTTTTTCCTCAGTGTTTCTTCTTTTCTAGAACTTGGTCCCATTTAATGTCATGTAGCATAGAGCAGTGTTTCTCAACCTTTTGTTATCAAGGCACCCTTTAAAATGATGGACATTCCCGAGTTACCCTTTAAAATGATGGACATTCCCGAGTTACCCTTTAAAATGATGGACAGTCCCGAGGCACCCTTTAAAATGATGGACAGTCTTGAGGCACCCTTTAAAATTATGGACAGTCCTGAGGCACCCTTTAAAATTATGGACAGTCCTGAGGCACCCTTTAAAATGATGGACAGTCCCGAGGCACCCTTTAAAATGATGGACAGTCCCGAGTTACCCTTTAAAATGATGGACAGTCTCGAGTTACCCTTTAAAATCATGGACAGTCTTGAGGCACCCTTTAAAATCACGGACAGTCCTGAGGCACCCTTTAAAATTATGGACAGTCCCGAGGCACCCTTTGAAATTATGGACAGTCCCGAGGCACCCTTTACAATTATGGACAGTCCCGAGGCACCCTTTGGAATTATGGACAGTCCCGAGGCACCCTTTGAAATTATGGACAGTCCCGAGGCACCCTTTACAATTATGGACAGTCCCGAGGCACCCTTTGAAATTATGGACAGTCCCGAGGCACCCTTTGAAATTATGTACAGTCCCGAGGCACCCTTTACAATTATGGACAGTCCCGAGGCACCCTTTGAAATTATGGACAGTCCCGAGGCACCCTTTGAAATTATGGACAGTCCTGAGGCACCCCATTCTAAAATGTGAAAAACTATCCTAATAGTTTTATATAACGCAGCAACATCCACATATGAAGGACACCCAACATTAGAGGTGACTTACTTTTCCAAAGTAAATACACTGTTGCACACTGGTACTGAATGGTATTCCAGTTTTTCTCCTCTCCCTCAGTTTTTCTCCCATCACTGAGCTAATGTGACCCCAGCACTGATGGAGAGGGGCGGGGAAGGGTCAAGTTAGGATGCTGTGCAGGCAACTGACATCTTCCTTATCAACTGATGATGTCATTGGTTGTCAGGATGCCGATGACTAGAAGGTTGTAATCGCGCACAATGAAGACCTGTGGCTTTGTGTAACTAAGGTAGGCTTGTTCCACCCACTGGCTTGTATACACATTTTGGGCAATTTATAGACATTTTGCCAAGGCACCCCTGAAGAAACCTCAAGGCACCCCTGAAGAAAACCTCAAGGCATCCCTGAAGAAACCTCAATGTAGCCCTGAAGAAACCCCAAGGCACCCCTGAAGAAACCTCAAGACACCCCTGAAGAAACCTCAAGGCATCCCTGAAGAAACCTCAATGTAGCCCTGAAGAAACCCCAAGGCACCCCTGAAGAAACCTCAAGACACCCCTGAAGAAACCTCAAGGCATCCCTGAAGAAACCTCAAGGCACCCCTGAAGAAACCTCAATGTACCCCTGAAGAAACCTCAAGACACCCCTGAAGAAACCTCAAGGCACCCCTGAAGAAACCTCAAGGCACCCCAGGGTGTATGGGCACCCTGGTTGAGAAAGGCTGGTATAGAGAGCAGCTTAGTAAAGTTTGCTGTTTTGAAATTTAGTGTTCTTTTCCTACCCTCCTGTTTTTTATTTCCTATGGTGAACGTAACTACTCTGTGATCACTGTTCCCTTAGTTATCCCTTTCTTCCACCTCTGCAGTCAGCTCTGTGATGTTTGTAATTAATAGGTTTAGCAGAGCATTATTTCTAGGTGGGTATTCTTTGCAAAGTGAATTCTCACTAAGCAAATGAAAATGTCCTTGTAAACTGAACATCCTATTGGCATCTTCCACCATCATAGTACGCCTCGTTTGCAATAAAAAATCTGCCCTGCCTTCAGCATATCCTTATGTCATGTCCTTTCTTAGTTTATTATGCTAGGGAATGGAATGTAAATTGTAATATCGCCATCTAGTGGCTCTATAGTATAATTACAGTTTTTATAGATTATTTTCTGTAATTACACATCTTGTTGCTTAAAAGCCACCGTAGTTTTCCCATCATCCTATGGTCTTCACTATGAGGTCTTAGAGACATTTCCTAGCAGCCATCTTACATCTCCTCCAGAGGACGCCACACTTATCCAGCTGCAGTTCTGTCGTCAGCCTATCAGAAACATCGCCGGTATGTTTAAAAACCCTTCCTAGTTAGACTAGTGTGTCAGGACCAGGGGCGTACTGACCATTCGAGCTCTCGGGCACTGCCCGAGGGCCCGGGGTCAGTAGGGGGCCCCATGAAATGCCCCAGGTACCTTTTTATAGGCATTTTTGGGTGTGCTTTGAGTGTGGGCAAGGACACAGGGGCCCCGTGATCCCTTATTGCCCAGGGGGTGTCAGTCCACCCCTGGTCAATACTGTATGTTTTGTATATTGTATACACTGATTGAATGTTATTTTTTTCATTTGTAGTTTTACTCTAACTCCCCTGCAATAAAAGTTGAAAAGAGGACCTAGCGCTTGCATCAATGAGTTGTTCAGGGAGGAGGGTTAGCTGTCTGTCTAATTATACCTCAGCCACGTATAGTGAGGGCACAACAAAAGCCTTCTTGCTAGCATTTTTTTCCAGGCAACGTTCTGCTGTAGTCTATGTGGATTGGTGTACACGGGGCGTGCACAAAGTTCTGCTGTAGTCTATGTGGATTGGTGTACACGGGGCGTGCACAAAGTTCTGCTGTAGTCTATGTGGATTGGTGTACACGGGGCGTGCACAAAGTTCTGCTGTAGTCTATGTGGATTGGTGTACACGGGGCGTGCACAAAGTTCTGCTGTAGTCTATGTGGATTGGTGTACACGGGGCGTGCACAAAGTTCTGCTGTAGTCTATGTGGATTGGTGTACACGGGGCGTGCACAAAGTTCTGCTGTAGTCTATGTGGATTGGTGTACACGGGGCGTGCACAAAGTTCTGCTGTAGTCTATGTGGATTGGTGTACACGGGGCGTGCACAAAGTTCTGCTGTAGCTATGTGGATTGGTGTACACGGGGCGTGCACAAAGTTCTGCTGTAGTCTATGTGGATTGGTGTACACGGGGCGTGCACAAAGTTCTGCTGTAGTCTATGTGGATTGGTGTACACGGGGCGTGTGCACAAAGTTCTGCTGTAGTCTATGTGGATTGGTGTACACGGGGCGTGCACAAAGTTCTGCTGTAGTCTATGTGGATTGGTGTACACGGGGCGTGCACAAAGTTCTGCTGTAGTCTATGTGGATTGGTGTACACGGGGCGTGCACAAAGTTCTGCTGTAGTCTATGTGGATTGGTGTACACGGGGCGTGCACAAAGTTCTGCTGTAGTCTATGTGGATTGGTGTACACGGGGCGTGCACAAAGTTCTTCCATTTGCAGCATGAAAGTCCTTACACAGTAGCTTACCAGTTCAATGCAAAGTGATCGCGGCGCACGCTTCCTCCTCACCTTGTTGCTGTGTCTGTTCCACATTATGGCACTGTAGTTGAAGTAGAATTGTTGGCCGTCTTTTTTCCATGGCATGTAATATCCGACAGAGACAACGACCGTTTTATATTTGTCAGGCTGTTTGAAATTTTCAATTTTAAAAGGACTGTCAAAATCCCCATTTTTATCAAATAAAGGGTTTTTTTTTGTTAACGTTCACCGGATTTCTGAATCGTTTTACATACATATGCACCTAAACAACAACAATGCAAAATATTAATATTCATAAAAGTGATAGAATTTCAAAATTGTTAAACATCTTACCAATATAAATAAATGGGCCTATTTGTTTAACCACTTCCCGTCTGATCCATGTATATAAATGGCCGGAGGGGAGCAGGGCAGGAGTGGGTGGCCGTTTATAAATGTCCTCCCTGCTTCCCTGCCTGTGTGCACTCCCTGTGCTCCCAGTGCCGAACACCGATCGCTGTACGGGACCTCTGTGTGAGGTCCCGATCATGTGATCACTCATTGGCCAATCAGTGATCACATGAATAGTAGAAGCAAGATGTTACTTCCTGACATCATTGCTTACTACGTGTGAAATCTGTGAATGATCACAGAGATCACATGGTACAGGGCTATTCACAACAGCCTTGTACCATGTGACAAGCTGTGACCAATCACAGCTCGCACAGCATTTCTCAATAGCTGCAAGAATACAGCCAGAGAGAAGGAGAAATTATTGCTTTTACAGCCTTGATGGGTGTAAAAGCAATCAGTGTAAAAAAAAAAAAAAATCTTCATCACCCCCCACAAGTAGTACAGTGTCACTATGGTGACACTGTACTGCTAGGGTGACAGTATGTTAAAAACAAAAACATAAATAATAACATAAAAAATAAAATAAAAATGTAAAAATAAATGTTTTAAATTTTAATTTTTGGTTAGAAACTAATTTGGGTTATTTTTTTTTTTACTAAAAAGATAGCTGAATAAATGTTGGCCAAGATTTATGAAGAAAGATTGTTAATTTGCAAACTTTTATACGAAAAACACTTTTTTTTTTTTTAAATGTTTGGACTTTTTCATTTATATAGCAAAAAAATAAAAATCCCAGTGGTGAATAAATACCACCAAAAATAAAGTTTTATATGTCTAAAAAAATGCTAAAAAATTCACATGGGTACAGTGTTGCATGACCGCGCAATTGTCATTCAAAGTGTGATAGCGCTGAAAGCTGAAAATTGGCCTGGACAGGAAGGGAGGGAAAGTGTCCGGTCTGGAAGGGGGGAAAGTGTCCGGACTGGAAGGGGGGTGAAAGTGTCCGGACTGGAAGGGGGTGAAAAGTGTCCGGACTGGAAGGGGGGGTCCGGAAAGGGGGGGGAAAGTGTCCGGACTGGAAGGGGGGGAAAAAGTGTCCGGACTGGAAGGGGGGGGAAAGTGTCCGGACTGGAAGGGGGGGAAAGTGTCCGGACTGGAAGGGGGGGAAAGTGTCCGGACTGGAAGGGGGGGGGAAGTGTCCGGACTGGAAGGGGGGGGGAAAGTGTCCGGACTGGAAGGGGGGGAAAGTGTCCAGACTGGAAGGAGGGTGAAAGTGTCCGGACTGGAAGGGGGGGGAAAGTGTCCGGACTGGAAGGGGAGGGGGTAACTGTCCGGACTGGAAGGGGGGGGGGAAGTGTCCGGAATGAAAGGGGGGGAAAGTGTCCGGACTGGAAGGGGGGAAAGTGTCCGGACTGGAAGGGGGGGAAAGTGTCCGGACTGGAAGGGGGGAAAAGTGTCCGGACTGGAAGGGGGTGAAAGTGTCCGGACTGGAAGGGGGGGAAAGTGTCCGGACTGGAAGGGGGGAAAGCGTCCGGACTGGAAGGAGGTGAAAGTGTCCGGACTGGAAGGGGGGTGAAAGTGTCCGGACAAGTGTCCGGACAGGAAGGGGGGGAAAAGTGGTGAATAAATACCACCAAAATAAAGTTTTATATGTCTAAAAAAAAATGCTAAAAAATTCACATGGGTACAGTGTTGCATGACCGCGCAATTGTCATTCAAAGTGTGATAGCGCTGAAAGCTGAAAATTGGCCTGGACAGGAAGGGAGGGAAAGTGTCCGGTCTGGAAGGGGGGAAAGTGTCAGGACTGGAAGGGGGTGAAAGTGTCCGGACTGGAAGGGGGGGAAAAAGTGTCCGGACTGGAAGGGGGGGGAAAGTGTCCGGACTGGAAGGGGGTAAAAGTGTCCGGACAGGAAGGGGGTGAAAGTGTCCGGACAGGAAGGGGGTGAAAGTGTCCGGACAGGAAGGGGGTGAAAGTGTCCAGACAGGAAGGGGGGAAAGTGTCCGGACTGGAAGGGGGGGAAAGTGTCCGGACAGGAAGGAGGGGCAGTGTCCGGACTGGAAGGGGGGGAAAGTGTCCAGACTGGAAGGGGGGAAAGTGTCCGGACTGGAAGGGGGGGAAAGTGTCCGGACTGGAAGGGGGGGGAAGTGTCCGGACTGGAAGGGGGTGAAAGTGTCCGGACTGGAAGGGGGGAAAGTGTCCGGACTGGAAGGGGGGGAAAGTGTCCGGACTGGAAAGGGGGGGAAAGTGTCCGGACTGGAAGGGGGTGAAAGTGTCCGGACTGGAAGGGGGTGAAAGTGTCCGGACTGGAAGGGGGGGTGTCCGGACTGGAAGGGGGGGAAAGTGTCCGGACTGGAAGGGGGGGAAAGTGTCCGGACTGGAAGGGGGTGAAAGTGTCCGGACAGGAAGGGGGTGAAAGTGTCCGGACAGGAAGGGGGGGGAAAGTGTCCGGACTGGAAGGGGGGGGGGGTAAGTGTCCGGACTGGAAGGGGGGGAAAGTGTCCCGGACTGGAAGGGGGGGAAAGTGTCCGGACTGGAAGGGGGGGGAAAGTGTCCGGACTGGAAGGGGGGAAAGTGTCCGGACTGGAAGGGGGGGAAAGTGTCCGGACTGGAAGGGGGGGGGGGAAAGTGTCCGGACTGGAAGGGGGGGAAAGTGTCCGGACTGGAAGGGGGGTGAAAGTGTCCGGACTGGAAGGGGGGGGAAAGTGTCCGGACTGGAAGGGGGGGGGGGGAAGGTAACTGTCCGGACTGGAAGGGGGGGGGGAAAGTGTCCGGAATGAAAGGGGGGGAAAGTGGTCCGGACTGGAAGGGGGAAAGTGTCCGAACTGGAAGGGGGGGAAAGTGTCCGGACTGGAAGGGGGGGAAAGTGTCCGGACTGGAAGGGGGGAAAGTGTCCGGACTGGAAGGGGGGGGAAAGTGTCCGGACTGGAAGGGGGGGGAAAGTGTCCGGACTGGAAGGGGGGGAAAGTGTCCGGACTGGAAGGGGGGGTGAAAGTGTCCGGACTGGAAGGGGGGTGAAAGTGTCCGGACAGGAAGGGGGGGAAAGTGGTGGAATAAGGGGGGGGTACCAAAATAAAAGTTTTATATGTCTAAAAAAAATGCTAAAAAATGTCACATGGGTACAGTGTTGGGGGGACCGCGCAAAGTGTCATTCAAAGTGTGATAGCGCTGAAGCTGAAAAAGTGGCGGACTGGAGGACAGGAAGGGGGGGGAAAGTGTCCGGTCTGGAAGGGGGGAAAGTGTCCGGGACTGGAAGGGGGGGGGGGGTAACTGTCCGGACTGGAAGGGGGGGGGGAAAGTGTCCGGAATGAAAGGGGGGGAAAGTGTCCGGACTGGAAGGGGTGAAAGTGTCCGAACTGGAAGGGGGGGGGAAAGTGTCCCGGACTGGAAGGGGGGGAAAGTGTCCGGACTGGAAGGGGGAAAAAGTGTCCGGACTGGAAGGGGGTGAAAGTGTCCGGACTGGAAGGGGGGGAAAGTGTCCGGACTGGAAGGGGGGGAAAGCGTCCGGACTGGAAGGAGGTGAAAGTGTCTGGACTGGAAGGGGGGGGGGGGGGGGGGTAACTGTCCGGACTGGAAGGGGGGGGGGAAAGTGTCCGGACAGGAAGGGGGGGAAAGTGGTGAATAAATACCACCAAAATAAAGTTTTTATATGTCTAAAAAAAAAGGGCTAAAAAGTGTCCGGACACATGGGTACAAGTGTTGCATGGACCGCGCAATTGTCATTCAAAGTGTGATAGCGCTGGAAAGCTGAAAATTGGCCTGGACAGGAAGGGAGGGAAAGTGTCCGGTCTGGAAGGGGGGAAAGTGTCCAGGACTGGAAGGGGGTGAAAGTGTCCGGACTGGAAGGGGGGGAAAGTGTCCGGACTGGAAGGGGGGGGAAAGTGTCCGGACTGGAAGGGGGGGAAAGTGTCCGGACAGGAAGGGGGTGAAAGTGTCCGGACAGGAAGGGGGTGAAAGTGTCCGGACTGGAAGGGGGTGTCCAGAAAAGTGTCCGGACAGGAAGGGGGGAAAGTGTCCGGACTGGAAGGGGGGGGAAAGTGTCCGGACAGGAAGGGGGGGAGTGTCCGGACTGGAAGGGGGGGGAAAGTGTCCAGACTGGAAGGGGGGAAAGTGTCCGGACTGGAAGGGGGGAAAGTGTCCGGACTGGAAGGAGGGGCAGTGTCCGGACTGGAAGGGGGTGAAAGTGTCCAGACTGGAAGGGGGAAAAAGTGTCCGGACTGGAAGGGGGGAAAGTGTCCGGACTGGAAGGGGGGGGAAGTGTCCGGACTGGAAGGGGGTGAAAGTGTCCGGACTGGAAGGGGGTGAAAGTGTCCGGACTGGAAGGGGGGGAAAGTGTCCGGACTGGAAGGGGGGGAAAAGTGTCCGGACAGGAAGGGGGTGAAAGTGTCCGGACAGGAAGGGGGTGAAAGTGTCCGGACAGGAAGGGGGGAAAGTGTCCGGACTGGAAGGGGGGGGAAGTGTCCGGACTGGAAGGGGGGAAAGTGTCCGGACTGGAAGGGGGTGAAAGTGTCCGGACTGGAAGGGGGGGAAAGTGTCCGGACTGGAAGGGGGGGAAAGTGTCCGGACTGGAAGGGGGGGAAAGTGTCCGGACTGGAAGGGGGGGAAAGTGTCCGGACTGGAAGGGGGGAAAGTGTCCGGACTGGAAGGAGGGTGAAAGTGTCCGGACTGGAAGGGGGGGAAAGTGTCTGGACTGGAAGGGGGGGGGGGGGGTAACTGTCCGGACTGGAAGGGGGGGGGGGAAAGTGTCCGGAATGAAAGGGGGGGGAAGTGTCCGGACTGGAAGGGGTGAAAGTGTCCGAACTGGAAGGGGGGGGGGAAAGTGTCCGGACTGGAAGGGGGGGGGGAAAGTGTCCGGACTGGAAGGGGGGAAAAGTGTCCGGACTGGAAGGGGGGGAAAGTGTCCGGACTGGAAAGGGGGGGAAAGTGTCCGGACTGGAAGGGGGGAAAGTGTCCGGACTGGAAGGGGGGAAAGTGTCCGGACTGGAAGGGGGGAAAGTGTCCAGACTGGAAGGAGGGGGAAAGTGTCCGGACTGGACATTTTGCTATGTAAATTAAAATGTCCAAAAATTTAGAAAAAAAAAAGTGTTTTTTTTTTATAAAATTTTGCAAATAAATAATATTTCATCATAAATCTTGGCCAAAATGTATTCTGTTATCTTTTTAGTAAAAAAACAAAAACCCAAATTAGTTTATAACCAAAAACTATAATTTTTTAAAAAAAATTTACATTTTTTTTTTATTTTTTTATATTATTATTATACAGTATTTATATAGCGCCAACCAGGGGCGGACTGACAACTCATGGGGCCCCTGGGCAATAGGGAATCATGGGGCCCCTGTGTCCTTGCCCAAACTCAAAAAAGCCTATGAAAAAGGTACCAGGGGCATCTCATGGGGCCCCCTACTGACCCCGGGCCCTCGGGCAGTGCCCAAGTTTCCAAATGGTCAGTCCGCCCCTGGCGCCAACAGTTTGCTCAGCGCTGTACATTACAAAGGGAGACAATACACGAGACAGTACAGTAACAATACATTCGACACACGAGGGGTTCGAGGGCCCTGCTCCTTGGAGCTTACAATCTAGGAGGGAGGGGATAGTGGTACAGGAGGAAAAGCTGTGGGGGATGGAGTGGTAGGAGGAGTGGAGGAGGTCAGCAGTAAGCAGGGGGTGGGGTAGGATTCCCTGAAGAGTTGGGTTTTCAGGGTGCGCCTAAAGGTGAGGGGGGTAGGTGATAGTCTGACACTGTACTACTTGTGGGGGGTGATAAAGATTTTTTTTTTTTTACACTGATTGCTTTTACACCCATAAAGGCTGTAAAAGCAATCATTTCTCCTTCTCTTTGGCTGCCATTGAGAAATACTGATAGAGCTGTGATTGGTCACAGCTTGTCACATGGTACAAGACTGTTGTGAATAGCCCTGTACCATGTGATCTCTGTGATCATTCACAGATTTCACACGTAGTAAGTAATGATGTCAGAAGTGACATCTTGCTTACTACTCTGCATGTGATCACTGATTGTCCAATCAGTGATCACATGATCGGGACCTCGCACAGAGGTCCCGTCCGACGGTAGGTGTTCCATTGTGTCCGGACACAGCGGGCACTGGATCACGGTGCTGCGCGCTCCCAGGGAGCGCTCACAAGCAGGGGGCGGGGAGGCTATTTATAAACGGCCACCCAACCCTGCACTGGCACCGTCCGTTTATATACAACAGCCGGATGGGAAGTGGTTAAGACCCTTGTTTGTGGCTGGGTGTTGACGGAGGTGCAACATGTACTCATTACCGCCCACCATTCTATTGAAGTCGCTGATCACCACTATTACTAGTATAAAAAAAATTAATAAAAATTCCAGTATATATACCATAGTTTGTAGACGCTATAACTTTTGCGCAAACCAATCGCTATACAATTATTTTTTTTACTAAATACACGTAGCAGAATACATTTTGCCCTAAATTAATGAAGAAATTTGATTTTTAAATTTATTGATTGGATATGTTTCATAGCAGAAAAGTAAAAGGTATTTATTTTTCAATCTTCTTTCATTTATAGTGCACAAAAAAAAAAAACAGTGGTGGTCAAATACCACCAAAAGAAATTTGTGTTCAGTGTTGCATAACCGTGAAATTGTCAGTTCAAGTAATGTTGTGCCAAAAAGCAAAATATGGCCTGGTCATGGGGGGTAAATTTTCTGTAGGTCAAGTGGTTAAAATGAGACTTTATTTAATTGTATTGTACTTTTATTTATTTTATAGCTCATTTCACGTGGACACTATATTGCCAAAATAATAGGCCCCGCCCTCCAAATCATGGGATTCAGGTGTTCCAATCCCCTCCATGGACACAGGTGTATACAATCAAGCCCCTAGGCATGCAGACTGCTTCTACAAACATTGGTGAAAGAATGGGTCGCTCTCAGGAGCTCAGTGACTCTAAGCGTGGTCCCGTGATAGGTGGCCACCTGGGCAATAAGTCCATCCGTGACATTTCCTGGCTACTAAATATTCCACGCTCAACTGTTAGTGGGATTATAACAAAGTGGAAGCAACTGGGAACAACAGCCACTCAGCCACCAAGTGGTAGGCCACATGACAGGGCGGGGTCAGCGCATGCTGAAGCGCACAGTGCGCAGAAGTCGCCAACTGTCTGTAGAGTCAATAGCTAAAGCCCTCCAAACTTGGTGTGGCCTTCAGATGAGCCCAACAACAGTGCATAGAGAGCTTCATGGAATGGGTTTCCATGGCTGAGCAGCTGCATCCAAGCCTTACATAAGTGCAATGCAAAGCGTCGGAGGCTGTGGTGTAAAGCACGCCGCCACTGGACTATAGAGCAATGGAGATGTGTTCTCTGGAGTGATCGATCACGCTTCTCTATCTGCCAATCCGGTGGACGTGTCTGGGTTTGGCTGTTGCCAGGAGAACGGCACTTGCCTGACTGCATTGTGCCAAGTGTAAAGTTTGGTGGAGGGGAATTATGGTGTGGGGTTGTTTTTCAGTGGTTGGGCTTGGCCCCCTAGTTCCAGTTAAGGGAACCCTAAAGGCGTCAGCAATACCAAGACATTTTGGACAATTTCATGCTCCCAACTTTGTGGGAAGAGTTTGGGGATGGCCCCTTCCTGTTCCAACATGACTGCCCACCAGTGCACAAAGCAAGGTCCATAAAGACATGGAGGAGCCAGTTTGGGGTGGAGGAACTTGACTGTCCTGCACAGAGTCCTGACCTCAACCCCATAGAACACCTTTGGGATGAATTAGAGCGGAGACTGCGAGCCAGGCCTCCTCCCCCGACATCAGTGCCTGACCTGACAAATGTGCTTCTGGAAGAATGGTCCAACCTTCCCATAGACACCCTCCTAAACCTTGTGGACGGCCTTCCCAGAAGAGTTGAAGCTGTTATAGCTGCAAAGGGCGGGGCCAACTCAATATTGAACCCTACAGACTAAGACTGGGAGGCCATTAAAGGTCATGTGCGTGGAAAGGGCGGGGCCAACTCACTATTGAACCCTACGGACTAAGACTGGGAGGCCATTAAAGGTCATGTGTGTGGAAAGGGGCGGGGCCAGCTCAATATTGAACCCTACGGACTAAGACTGGGGGGCCAGTTCAGGTGTATCTATCGGCAGGCCGACCAATACCCTTGACAATATTTGTGTATGTATAAAGGAAATTATTGTTTTGAAAATTTTGCTCTACACCACAGTTGGACACAAATATTTTCTCCAAACATAAAATCAAAGCCAATAATGCTCCCCATTTAGAATGTTTATTCAAGACAAAAAATTTAAAAAATATACACTCCCTATAAAAGGTACATAAGACCTGCGCACAATGATAAAAACTCATCCATAGCAGGGGCGGACTGACCATTTGGAAACTCGGGCACTGCCCGAGGGCCCGGGGTCAGTAGGGGACCCCATGAGATGCCCCTGGTATCTTTTTCATAGGCTTTTTTTAGTTTGGGCAAGGACACAGGGGCCCCATGATCCCCTATTGCCCGGGGGCCCCATGAGTTGTCAGTCCGCCCCTGATCCAGAGTCTCCCAATTTGGATTTGGAGCCTCAGCCTCCCTCAGTGTTGTCAGCAGCTCTCATGGCACTTCTTAGTGACAATGTGATGACGTCATCAAGCTTACCTAGTTGGATTGTGTTTTTATAAAAGTCATGTGGTTGGGGATCTTGGTCATATTACTCTGTATACATACAACACATTCTGGTGAGAAACGAGGAAACACTAAAGAGGAGGACAAGAGGTTCTTGCTCCACGTGATGCAAAATAATAGAGAAAGCCCCTTCTCTCTTTATATGAGGAACGTTCAAGTCAAACCGGGACTTTTGAGTTTATATAATAAAAAGAACAAAGTGGAAACTGCATTTATTTATCTACATACTCCCCTGCCACATGTATACACTTATCCCAGTGTTTAACTAATGCCTGTAAAGCTTCAGCATAGAAAGATTTGACCGTACGCCTTCACTTCCTCATCATTGCGTTCACCGTTGCCACAGAAAGCTTTGTCTCTTGTGCAGTTTCATGACAGGGTATGCATCGACTATGGAGGATCAGGCGTTCCACGCGCGAATGTTCTCAGGAATGATTGCTGTGGGCTAGGAACCACCATGGCCAGGAACAGACGTACGGCCATCTTTGAAACATTTACACCATTCACATCTCTGGCAGCTGAGTGTCTCGTCACCATACTGTGCTTGAAGTCTTCTGTAGATACCCGTGGGTTTTACACCTTCGTTCACAAGAAATGTCCTCACCCTGCGCTGTTCCATGCACTCACTAACATTCTTGTCCGCCATCTTGATTAACGGTCTCTGGACGGGCCCGCCACATGTGCGTCTCTCAGTAATAGACACACTTGCCACTTACTAGTGCATGTAGTACCACCACCCTAGCATCCTTTTTCATACCTGTAAATACAGATGGGCTGCATGTTCAAGTCGAACGTTCAGCGAACAGATGAATGGTAGAGGCATTCGTTGGGCTGTTCACCTGCTGTGCCCCACAATGCACTGCGCCCTGACAATGCATTGTGATTGGCCAAAGCATTCCACCTGACCAGTCAGGTGCAATGCTTTGGTCAATCACAGTGCATGATGACGTCAAAAGGGGTGGGGGTGATCATCACCCTATTTAAGAACTGTCAATGCTGCGCAGCTGTCAGATGGCGGGAGCCAGCATCGAGAGTGGAGCGGATTTTTCTTTTACGAGTCGGCGATGGTGGCGGGCATTGTGATTGACATTGGATCTACTTCGGGGGACATTTTTTATTTCTATTTTTAATAAAGGACTTGTCAAAGATTGTCTCCTGTCCTTTTTTACACTACAATTTTTTTTTTTGTGAATGGGTAGCAGTACCATGTACCGCATAGTCATTCACTTGGGGGGAGTGGGATCTGAGGGACAGATTCTGATAAGCCCCCCAATTGCAGACTTCCACAACTACTGGCCAGGGTTCTAGGGAAGACACCCTCATTCACTTGGGGGGGTGGGACCTGAGGGCCAGATTACCGATAAGCCCCCCGACCGCAGACCCCCACAACCACCGGCCAGGGTTTTGGAGAAGATGCCCTTGTCCCCATCAACATGGGGATAAGGTGCTTTGGCGCCCCAAAGCACCCATTCCATGTTGCGGGCCTGTGTCCTGGTATGGTTCAGGATGGGGTGAATACTTGCTGACCCTCCCCCCTTTTCCTGACCTGCCAGGCTGCATGCTCAGATAAGGGTCTGGTATGGATTTTGGGGGGACCTCAACGTTATCTTTTTCTTAAAAATGTTGGCATGGGGGGTTCCCTCTCAAAATCCATACCAGAAATCCATAGACAGGGCTTTGTATGGATAGGAGGGGAGACTCCACGTCAATGTTTTTCTTTATTTGTAATTGTCGGGCAATGCCAAAAAAATTTTTGACACTCAGCTGTCAGCGGGGAACACAGCTAACAGCTGAAACAGGAATGAATGTCTCGCTACTAAAATACTTAAAATACCACGTGACTTCATAATATAACTAATGCAGTATTTTAGTAACTGAGCCGTACCTTCATACTCAAATGCATCTTTTTTTTACACTACACTTTTTGTTCTGTGAATGGGTAGCTGTACCATGCACCGCATACTAATTCACTTGGGGGGAGTGGGATCTGAGGGCCAGATTCTGATAAGCCGCCCAATTGCAGACTCCCACAACCATTGGCCAGGGTTCTAGGGAAGATGCCCTCATTCACTTGGGGGGGAGTGGGATCTGAGGGACAGATTCCAATAAGCCCCCCAATTCCAGACTCCCACAACCACCGGCCAGGGTTCTGGGGAAGATGCCCTCATTCACTTGGGGGAGTGGGATCTGGGGGACAGATTCCGATAAGCCCCCCAACTGCAGACTCCCACAAACCACCGGCCAGGGTTCTGGGGAAGATGCCCTCATTCACTTGGGGGGAGTGGGATCTGAGGGACAGATTCCGATAAGCCCCCCAATTGCAGACTCCCACAACCACTGGCCAGGGTTCTGGGGAAGATGCCCTCATTCACTTGGGGGGGGTGGGATCTGAGGGACAGATTCCGATA